CCTTTAAAAAAAATTACTGCATATCACCCGAATATAGTAAAAAATATACCATATGAAAATTTGTTAGATATTTATTTCCTAAAATTCGAAAAGGAAAGTACAAAAAAAACTTTGGGTATCCAAAGAAATGCGATATGTGATCAGTTTTCATACACTACAGAGTCAATATCTACATTATCCGCCATAACAAAACGCAAAATTTTATCCTCTGTGGCAAAACTTTTCGACCCCGCAGGATGGCTTTCGCCAATTATGATACAAGCGAAAATCTTGATACAAGAATTATGGCTAGACGGAACCGACTGGGACGAACAAGTGAAACCTCTTCGCTTAGAAAAATGGTACGTCCCAGTACGCAAACAATCTGGAAGTAATTTCCCAGATACAAATCTTACAATGTGTAAACTATTTTCCCCAACACAAAGTTGAATTACACGGCCTCTGGGACGCCTCTGAGACGGCAAACTGAGGCATTATCTATATGCACACATAAAGCGATACCGCGACCACAAGTCACTTATTAGCAGCAAAAGCAAAGGTCGACTTGAGCTCTGTAGCGCGCTACTAATCGCTAAATTAGCTTTCATGGTGCAGACCTATTTAAACATGAAGAAATATTGATTGTTTTAGTTCGATCCTGAAATCGTTCGAGCCTGGTTGGAAAAGCCACCACAGGCATTCTTTCGAATTCACTTTTCTAATCGAACGTCTCAAATATTTGACCTAGTGCGATCAGCCACTTGGCGACACATAGCCAATGCTAACAATCCTGCCAATCTAGGTACAAGAGAGTGCAAACCGCTACACCTTACTACCACCACCCTCTTGTGGAATGGCCACCGATGGTTAACAGAATATCCCGATTCTTGGCCACAATCGCCCATGCGCAATATAATTTCCCCAGAAAGTCGAAAAATCGAATCCTTTCACACAGCAGTGGAGGATACTGACATTCTTGAGCAATTTTCATCGTTCCCTCAGAGTAGTCGCCTATATATTAAAGTTCATAGAGCGACTTAAAATTAAAGTTAAGGGAGTTCTCTCAGAGTACCCCCAATGCGATACATTGACGCACGTAGAATTACATAAGGCAAAGGTCGCTCTAATCGCATCAACTCAAATCCTAATACAAGAATTTTGGCCAGATGGACCGACTGGGACGAACAAGTAAAACCACTTTGCGAACAGTCTAAATGATATCTCACAGATACAAATCCCACGATGGGTAAATTATGCCCCATAGCACAAAGTCGAACTACACGACTTCTGTGACGCTTCTGAAAAGGCAAATCACGCAACTATATATGTTCGCTCACAAAGCGTTACTGCGACCACAATCCACTTACTAGTAGCAAACGAAAAAGTGGCTCCTTTAAAATCAAAAACCATAGCTATAATTTATATTGTGCCATGTTCAAATGTGTTTATGCAATGGACACCAGTTTGGCTAGTAGTAGCGCTCCAAGCAGTTCTAGTCGTACTACGTGGAGCGCTACTACTAGCCAAACTAGTATCCATCGCACAAACGCATTTGAACATGACACAATATAAATTATATCTATGGTCCGATTCCGAAATTGTACTAGCCTGGTTAGATAAACCACCACATACAGACGTATATTTGCAATCGAATAGCCAGAGCTGACAATCCTGCCGATCTAGGTACAAGAGGATGCAAACCGCTGCATCTTGCCACCACTATGCTATGGTGAAATGGCCCCCGATGGCTACAGAATCTCCCGATTCTTGGCCACAAACGCCCATGCGTAATATAATTGTCCCAAAAAGTCGAAAAATCGACTCCTTTCACACAGCAGTGGAAAATACTGACATACTTGAGCGATTTTCATCGTTTTCCCGAGGCCTCGGAATAGTCGTCTATATGTCCCATAATCATACCAGAAAAAGCACGGCTTACCACTTTACTCCTCAGTTATATCCACATACTTATGCTTCACACGGAAGATCGCCTAATGCAACATAAAGACCGCCTAGAGTCTATATTCCGACTTAAGCCCCAAATAAAAAAAATGCATTTTCATGTGCAAGATCTGCACTCGGTATTAGCAGAAGTTGTGAACTCAGATTATGGCAGCACTTCCACCGGAACGCTGCAACTTCGCTCTGCCTTTCACAATTACATGTGTCCTTTTTGCTGGGCCTTTTCTAATAAAGGCGTCCATGCTAAGGTCGCCTACCATAATGAAATTCTATGTGGCTGTCTTTGTCTGTTTTACGACAAAAGCAGTGCACCTCGAGCTATGTACGAATTTGACTAAGGAGGCTTTTCTCGCGGCATTTGCTCGCTTCGTCGGACGACGCGGCTTCCTCTCAAAAGCGATAACGGCAAAACCTTCATTGGAGCCCAAAGAGCCACTAAAAAACAGTTTGTGGATTTTATTAAATAAGTATCACCTGAGATTGTTCAGAAGTATGCTCCCCAAGGTATTAATTCGCAGATTATCCCCCCAAGCGCTCCTCATATGGGTGGTTTATGGAAATCAGCTGTAAAAAGCTTTAAATCCCACTTCAAAAAGTAGCTGGAAATTACAAATTCAATTAAGAAGAATTCACTACCTTACCTATTCAAATTGAAACCGTTCCTAGTTCCGATGAAAAATTGGAGACTGTCATCATACACGATGATTGTCTACCCCCGACAGAATGGCGGCTTGGCCGCATAGAAAAACTGCATTACGGTTCCGACGGTCATATAGGAGTTGTTGATCTCCGTACTCAAAGCGGAACGCTAACCAGACCGCTCGGGAAATTATGTTTTCTGCCAACCGCGACTAATAATATACATAAGTTAATAAGATACCAAATTTGATTGTATTCCTTTCACTTTTTCTCAAAACTTTTTGGAATAAAGTTTTGCCAGCATCTGAGAGTATTTCCCTAGCTTTGATCTTTGCAAGTTGCTAGAGTATAAAATGTTCGGTTTCACCCTAACCTTGCCTTTCCTTACTTGTTAAAACATAATAAGAGTGGTCGTCGTAAAAGTATAGATTACTATGTTAACGAGCACAAAATAAGTACCACGTCTTAGACGCTTGTGAAAAGATATCACTTCTCACCTAAAAAAAATGTTTCTTCCAATAATTCGACCGTTTTCAGGGTATCTTTTTCCTTTTTCGAAAAGTTAAACGAGTATTTCTCTTTCAGAGGGGCTAATTTCTTTTTATTTAGGCGATATTCGATATTCTAAATTGAATAACAAACTGAATACAGACTGGTTAAAAATTTTCTGCGCTCGAAATAACAATATACTATTTTTGGAACGAAATATATTTATTTATTCAATGTGATCTCCCTTAGCTTCAATACACTTATTCAAATGATCCTCCATTAATTTTAGGTCATCCCTATAATGAGATTCCTGAAGCTCTGCAAAAAGCCCCTCTACGGCTGTAATAGCTTCTTCATTCGACGAAAAACGCTTACCACGAAGGAATTGTTTCAGGCTTCTGAAGAGGTAGTGATCGCTAGGAGCCAAATCTGGTGAATGCAGTGGATGCTCAAACAAATCGTTGAATTTTGTCAATGTTAAAACACATTTGTGAGCAGGTGCATTTTCTTGTGCTGGAAACCAAGTCTTTTCCCACTATTTTTTCGTCCAGCTGAGCCAACAGGCTGCAAAAATATTCACAGTAGATTGTTTTACATTTCTGCAAATAATCAATCAACAATATTGCTTTTGTATCCCAAAAAACGGATGCCATAACCTTCTTTGCTGATCGTTGTGACTTCACCTGCTTTGAAGCTGAACAACCAGCTTCAGTCCACTGTAAACGTTCTTGTTTCAATTTAGGATCATAGTTATAAAACGACGTAAGAAGTCGGTTTCATTCTGCTTAAAACGCTCCAAATTATGCTGAGAAATTTGTTTTCGATCCAGTTTCTGTTGAATTGTTAACGTGTGCGGCCCTAACTTTCCAAACAGCTTTTTCATAAGTAATTCTCCATGTAAAATATGAAGTACTCGTCAAACTTGGATCTTCACTAACAATATTATGAATTTGCTCAATGATTTCTGGTGTAGTTGCGGTTTTTGCTCGTCCTTCGTATGGATCGTCAAGCCTAGTGCGACCACGTTTAAATTCACCAGTCCAAAATTCAATGATGCTTTTGGAAGATAAGGACTGCTTTACATATCAAACAATTGTTCATAAATTTCATTGGCTTTAAAACCTTTCAAAACAAAGAATCTAATCACTGCGCTATATTTAATTTTTTCCGTATTAAAAAAATACTCTGAGACCTCAACTTCAAATGACTTGAAAACAAATAATTAAGTGACAGAAGGACTTGTAACTTTGAAGTTGGTCTCACGACCGATGTACCAACTGGAAAAAAAATTTGGAGCTGGTAGTGCTATTTCTTGATGAGACTAACCAACGCTTCAACCAACCTGTATACAGTATCAGACTTCCTTATGCCATAAAAATCGACGACCACCAGATCCAAATAAATTAAATTTGGACTCATCTGTAAAAATGTTTACTCTTTTCAAAATAGTGAACATTTTCGCAATATTTCTTTTCGATAACTGCTCTAAAAATAGGAGAAACTAAGAAGTTCTGGCAATATTCGATATTTTGGGGTGTTCCGAACAACAACTGGGGTGTGCAAATTTTTTTGCGCGTTCCACTATCATCAAGTATTGCAACTTCAGCAATGTTTTTGAATTTAGAAATAATGTACTGAACAGTAGTATATTCGGGTTTTGACAATATTGCCTATTTTGGGATTACCTTTGTTCTCTTGCTATTATTTGGCTACCAAAACTTGGTACTTATGGTAGATGTTTTTGGTCATGTGTTGTTTGTTTGTTTTGTTTAGGAACCAACATAATAAAATAGTATCTAAAGTCGGAAACCAATACATCGGGTTTAAAGTAAATCTCCCATATTCGAAAATTTTCCCTACCGTATTTGTAATTTTATTCATGCGAATTTATGAAATTTGTTCTCAAAATTATTAGTGGGGAATAACTATCAATAAAAGGTAAGCATACTTTATTAAAACTTTACTTGATTTTTACAACTTTTTTATATTAACTAATGCCGAAATCCTCATTAGATCAAAAAAGACATGTATATTATTAAAATTAAAAACATGCTAACGCGTGAAAATAAAAATACTTGGGATTGATTTATTCACCCGAAGTTTACAATAGGGCTGAATATGTGTTGTATAATGGAAGCCAGCTGTGCGCTTTGCTACGCCACCAACTAAAATATATTTGAAGGAATGAGATTACACAAATATTCATAATTATACTATATATTATCTCCAAAGTTTTGTTCCGATGTCTAAATTTGTTCTTATTCTTTATCTTATTAGCATAAGATTATCAAGATAATAGTACGCACCAAGTTTTGTTGATATTGGCTGACTAGTTCCTAAATGAATTAAATTTCTTCTAAAAGTGGGTGGTGCCATCTCCATTTTCTAATTTTTACACTGAGTCTTATTTATCTGTTCCGTACCATCTTAGCTGCGAAATTTATTGCTTCCGACGTGTTTATTTAATTATTAATAAGTAGTTAAATGGAGGGTGGGCGGTGTTGTTACTCCATTTCAAACATTTTCACACTGTGTAAAGTAGTACTAGAAGAATTTGTACTCAGCAAGTTTGGCTTTAAAATTTCCGATACCTTTTCAGTAGATAATAATTGCCGTTATACTTACGTTGGATACAGAAACAGTATTGGGCTTTTACGGAAATGCAGTAAATACTAGCAACACAGTTTAGTTTGCACTGCTGATTTTATGCTAGCTGATGCCCTTGAATGAAATGTTAAAAACTGCCCATTTGAAAATTTGCTTTTTCAAAAATAAAAATGTGCGAAATATTTTTTATTAATACTCTCACAGATGCATTTAATAGCAAAAATTATCGATTTTTTTTGGAAAGGTAAAAAAAGAGAATGAATCGAATTATTTCAAAAGATTTTGTTTTAGTGCACTTGACGGCTACAGAAATCGGTACACTTGAAAACGCAACAACAACTCTGAGTTTTTATTGTAACATATTTCTCGATAAATCGTCTACCTTGTAACTTAATCTTGATTTCGTTCTCTAGATTGTTAAATAAAAGTCCCAATTTAATGGCTATACACTTTTCTTTATTTCTACTTCAAACAACTTAACGCTAGCCTTTCTTCCTCCGTTGGCGTTAAGTTCAAGCTTCAAATCAAGCGGTAACCGAACATCATTACCCTTCCGATAAGCCTTCACGAACAAAAATATATCGGTATCCCAATCTTTTTGATACTTGTCCACGACTTTCCTCAAATGTTCTTCCAAAATTCGATTCAATCGTTCTACCATGCCATCGAACTTTGGATATAGTGCAGTCGTAGGGGTTTTCCGGATACTCGATTTCTGACACATCTCCCGAATTAGAGCTGATTCAAAATGCCTCCCTTGGTCAGAAAGAAATTCTATGGGAACACCATATCTAGTTATCCAATTACTGATAAATACGTCCGCTACTTTTTCTGCCTCTTGTTTAGGAATTGCGTATACTTCAAAACTACTACTGAAATAGTACATGACTGCCAAAACATATTTGTTTCCTAATTTACTGGTGGGAAATAGACCAGCTACATCCTGGCCATGACTCCTGGACATCGGCCCTTTGGCTGCAATGCACTCGTCACAATTGGCGTTCTACTCCGTAACTGATTGACGACAACAAATTCAATAAAATCTTTGTTTTCATTTATCCAAGGTTTCAGTGATTCCCATGTGTCGTCCCCTTGGACCGTTGTGTGATGTTCTATAGAAAATTCCTAACTTTGGAGTCTCTCAACCCACCGTTCCAGCTGTCTTTCTAGGTTACTAAATTGTACCATTTTAATGTTGCATGATTTGTCCTCATCTGAAATCGCTGGCCATAAAGATACTCATTGAAATGGTAGATGCATTTCATCAACGCCAGTAGTTCATTCCGAGTTACACAATATTTTTCCTCTGACTTGCTTATTGTCTGGATGTAACATGCAACCATTTAATCATGCTCATCAATGACTTGTAATAAAAGGCTTCCTGCTGCATATCCACTAGCAGCGTATCCAAAATAAACGCTGATCCTGGGATTGGGTATGCTAATATATGTGCAGTACTTAACCGTTTCTTCAGAGAACACTTCCTGTTCGTTATTCCACTCAAAAACTCTGTTCTTTTTCGTGAGGCTTCTAGCTATGCTAGGAAAATTTGGAACGAATCGTCGATAATAAGTACAATGTCCAAAGAAACTTCGCAATTCATGTGAATTTTTAGAACAGGGCCCTCGGTTGTCACTTTGTGTCCTAATTAGCTTACTTTCATTTTGAAAAGGAACCATTCCTCGGGCTCAACTTCAGACCAGCGCTAGCTATCCGTTGGAAAACATCTTCTTAGTACTTAATGTGTTAATCGACGCATTTACCCAACACGGGGATATCGTAGAGGTGGCTGACTTTAGTTTAACGAATGGTTGGATTTGAAATTTGCTTGATCTTTCTCATCTTAGCGTTTGCGATCATCCGGACTATTGGTCCGCTTAAATATGTAATATGACCTTTTTTTCCGAAGTTGAAGCATTGAACCACGCCATCATTTTTCTTACGCGTTTCTGTTGATGTTTCCACTACCTTTTGCATATTTTCAGCACCTTTCTCAAGTAATTGTTCACCCAAGTGTGTTGTTCTATTTCTACTTGATGAGCTTCAAATGTTCGATAGCAAAGCAGAGATGAAGTTTCCGGTGTTAGAGCATACGAGATTGTTTCCGCAAACGTAAGCTCTGGATATGCTAAGGCAGAAAAGCATGAGGTGTCATCTCGTATTCCATAAATGAAGCTTCGAATTTCGTGAGCTTCACGGTTTAATGTGTATAAGCTAAGTTATCTAACTTCCTAATATTTTTAGAAAACTCCAATACACACGCATTAGCTTTCTGTCAGCGATGTAACAACTCGATTTTTAAGATCTGCTTCCTGTGCTCACTACCATACCGCTTTCTGATGCTTCAGCTACTTTATTTTCAATGATGCAATTAAATGCAGATGCTGCCTTTTTAAATTAAAGAAGCTTAAAAACATGAAACGGAACTGGCAAAGGATGGAGGATTTACCTTGAAAGAGACTGTTGACATAATTGACCTATTTAATTGTAGCCCGCGGAGACAATCTTTTAATGCATCTACTTTAGTTTTTTCATCCCACTCTTCTGAAATTTATCAACTCTGAGAACACCTGTGCTGATATACGTGTACTACGTACTGCGCCTCCAATTGCGTTAACAACCGTGTTTCTAAATTCGAGGACAATTGGTATTGTTTTGCCAACATTCGTGAAGTCACTTGCGATATCCGTGCATCCTGTGCTTTCAATTGTGTTGAGAACAGTATTTCTAAGTGCGAGGAGACAGACTCTTCTATTTGCGTTAACATCTGCGACTTGGCAGCCAAAATCATGTTTATGTCCATAACGTTTGTTGAGCCTTTTTCTTTTCTTCAATCTTCGTTGTGTCTTTCTCTAATTCTAATTGAAAGAAATATTCCTAAACATTAATGTTTTCTGCCTCTAAGGCCTCTCGCAACCGTGATTGTAATTCAGTTTTGAATTCATTATTCGCTAAACCATGCCATTTTCAAATAATTATCTCCTTGGGAATTTATTTGACAATCTCACTTCTGACACCAATTGTAAGGGATTTCTCAATAAATCATCTACCTTGTAACTCAATCTTGAGTTTGATCACTATATTGTTAAATAAAAGTCCCAATTTAATGGCTAAACACTTATCTTTCAGCCCTATTCCATTGCCCCATCTCTATTGTGATGTTTACCTTATGCTGGCGTAAATTCAAAAGCTCAAATGCTCACAATTTCCTCACAAATCTGTGACGTCTGAAAGCAACCCTCATAACACAAAAACATATTTTGCTTATTGCAATATTTTTAAACAAATTTGTAAAGTAAGTATGAATAAAAAAGGCATCTATGTTTAAAGAATTCCGAAAACATTTTATTTGTAAATATGTGTGTATGTATTTAATACATGTACGAATAAAAAGATATTTATGTTAACATAATTCAGTTATTTCATTACATATCAGAATAGGGCTGTTTATTTCTACAACTAAAAACCCAAAAATTTGGTTATTTGAATTTTTCACGTAAATTTTGTGGTTATTGTCTATACACAAAAGTTATAGACCTTTTAATTACTTACCATATTACGTTTTTCTATAAGACTCGTAGTTTTGCCGGAAATCGAGATAAACCGTTTCTAATCTTTAAAAATTCTACCAGCACCTTTCCCCTACCTCAGATCGTAATTATTCCTTTAAAGTTTGCTATTTTATCTTTCGTTTCCGATGGGGTTCAACCTACTATGAATTTCTTTGTTTTCGAAATTTTATTTACCCTGGTCTATAAGTTAACCCATGTCGGTACAATGCTAACACTGCATCGGCTGTGACCCCAATTTTGTTTCTTATAAGGTCTACCGCCTGGTAATGTTTGGAACTACCTGGGTATCCTTTAAATAGCTCTTAAGCTGTATGTGCATCTTGTCGCCGTGATATATGTGTCTCAAGGGCAGTCGGTACTGCCGCTTGCACTATGCTCATTAATTGTCCCGGTTCCATATGTTTGCTTTTGCATTTTTGTTGTATATGCGTTTTTATGTTTGCTTGTTCAAAGAATACATTACACAATTTGGCACAAATTATAATTGAAGAAGGCAACATACAGTCAAATCTAACATTAATACACTTTGGGAAAAAAAACAGATATGTAATTTTTTTTTGACACCAAATATATTACTTAATGAAATCTCTACACGATGGAGTCGTTAATGCAATACATGGTAACCTACCAATAAAGCATACTATTCCAGAAACCCCAATACCCTCTTACCCAGGGGAATTCCTTCATATCGACATTTTCCGTATTGATAAGAAACATTATCTTACCTGCATAGACAAGTTTTCAAAATTTGTAATAGTACAAAAAATAGACTCCAGGACAAAAGCGGATGAAAAACCTAAAATTCTGCAATTAATGAGCAATACCAAAACCATATATTGCGACAAAGAGTAATCACTAAATTCCAAAACTAGAAATTTTACTTAACCATTCAAATTACCAATGTATCACCACTGCATAGTACATCTAATGGTCAATAGATAGAAATAGCCAGATGCTTAAAATTGGAAAAGAGTTTGGCTGAAACAGATGAGTTGATCCTGTTGGCAACCATCGAATATATAAAATCAATTTCCACGATCACAAACAATATACAAATTGCATACTTTTTCCTTCTTCAACAACAGCTGTAATTGAAACAAAAGCATACATAAAAAATACACAGACAGCAAATTAAGAATACCGTTACAAAAACAAAGTTGATGATTTAAGACCCTGTCGCCCCCTTGTAAAAGTATATCAGAGATAAGGTAATAAACTCTCTGTTTCATACGGCGAAGAAATAGTTTAAAAAGACCTAGGTACCACCGTTATTATAAAAAGAAGAAGTGTGTTTAGATAAACACAAACATTCAAAGGACGATAACAGAAGTAACGAGCACTGTTAAAAATTATAAACATTTGTAACAAGGCTCAATTAGACTCAAATCCAGAAATAAAGTTCTATTTTCGGAACTATAGACAATGGCATTGTAAATCACTTAAGCAAAAATAAACTTAATAAATCCCCTACTCTTAGATAATAATGAGATATTTGAAAAAAATCAGCGCCTCACAGATAATATTAGTATAACTGCAAAGAAAAAGTTGTTTGTATTTTATTACTAAATACCCTAAAGTTAAGGATATCTGTAGAAACTCAGTTTATATTGAGTACAGCACGATGGAAAAATTTTATATTTAGGAAGAACTACTACCGTAGCAGGATGTGAAAACAAAGCATTTGCTATCGAATGTAAGACATCACTCTCCGTGACATTCTGCAAGAAGCTGAATATAATATTACAATCTGTGGCCAAAAATTAGTTTCCGGAGGAACAGCGAACGACCGAAGCAAAATAATACAGGTCGATGATGGAATACTAATAATCAGCAACATGCTGCTACAACCGCAAACAAAAAGAATTTTAAACGGATAATAAATAGGACATATTAGCTAACATTCAAAAATTGTATCGAAGTAAATAGCATTGAGCATTGCAATCTTAGCAATGTCTCAAAACAAAAACGGGGAGCACCAACAGCACCCCGGATAAATGTTGATCAACATCTAGAGGTCTAATGCCAAAAATATCAATTACATCGCCACTATGCAACAGGAAATCAGTTCTTTCCCGTAGCAGAGTGCACGAGTGGTTTCAACATTTTCAAAGTGGTCGTGAGGACATAAATGACGATGAACATGAAACCTAAAAAATCCCCCATACCGAGCAACGAGCTAAACACTCTATCACTGTTTTTGGTCAAAAGTTAGCAGTAGGGACAGGGGTCACCGTATTCGGTATCTGGTGGCCTGAACAGTTGTCGTCCGAATTTCAAAATTTTTGGTCATAAGGTGGCGCACCTAAAAGGCTTTTCGATGGCCTTAAAATTAATTTTCTGAGCATTTTAGCTATTGGCTTTTCCACCTCTGTGGCAGTATGTAAAAGTGAAGTATAGTCATAATACCTAGGTTATTAAAAAATTGGTTACTTATTTTGAGTTATTACCAGCTGTCCTGCTGCTGACTGCACAATAAAGAGCAATGTTACAACTATTCGAATAGTATTAATTGGTTAATATTCATATTAACGGTTACAAACCGCTACTATCGTTGTGCGTCTTTTTAAGTATATGCATGTCTTTTATTTTAAACGTTAACGACAATAATATATTTTTGTATTATTTTATTTGCAGGAATTGTTAATTGAAATCGAAGCTTTCTGTGTAGGTTTCAGCCGCATAAAGGAAGCTGTGGGTTTGTATAGACTTCTAAAAAATTTGGAACTTGGAGAACATGGACCTAGTGTCAACAACGGAAGTTTAACTTACTGTATAAACAAAAATGAAAGCATTACTCCAAAATAATTTTACAAATATTTTACAATTAAAGTAATTGGTTTGGGGATACTGTACAAGTAAATTAAATTGTGTTTTCTTTGCACGTTGGCTGACTTCAAAAACGTACTACTGTAAAGTATCGATACAGTATTTATACTTGTACATCGTCAAACAACATACAAAATGGTGAGTTCACGTTGCGGAACAATTTACTGCAAAGTTTACTTTCACAATAAGATGTTTTATTTTTGCGAGCGTATAAAGATAAAATATGTTGCAATTAATATTAGGTCGTTCACTAAGTAATTTCGTTTAATGGCGACAGTCGATCTTATTGAATGTTTTCGCAGCCAATTTCCTTTATATTTTTGAATAGCTGATATAGCAAGGGTTGTTTGTTAAAAACAAAATTCCTAAATTTTTTTTGGAATAGGTATAGGAATTGGTTGGTGCCCTATCGAGGATGGAAAATCAAAAACAGCATTTTCGCCATATTTTACTGTTTTATTAACAAAAGGGTAAAAATGCAGTTCTAGCAAGGAGAAATTTGGAGAACGGAGAAGATGTGTTGACCGAACGCCAATGCCAAAATTGGTTTGCAAAATTACGTTCCGGCAATTTCGATCTTTAAGATGCATCACGTCCTGGAAGGTCTTTTGCAGCCGATGAGGATAAAATCGTCAAATAACGAGATTGCCAAAAGATTGAATTTGTCTTACACGACCGTTCACAAGTACATGAAATATCTAGGATTAATTTCGAAGCTTAATTTCGATATGGGTTCCTCGGGTTCTTACAGAACGAAATTTGCTTCACCGCATTGACGACTGTAATTTGCTTATCAAACGTCAAAGTAGTGATCAATTTTTGAAGCGCCTTGTTACTGGCGACGAAAAGTGGGTTGTTTACAAGAATGTCAAGCACAAGAGATCATAGTCTAAACAATTTTAGAACGGGAGGACCTTCACCTCAAATCAGGATGTCAAAAACCACTTGGACCAGTTTTTTTTTGTGTGCAACGATCAAACATTTTATGAGGTAGGTAGGTAGGTAGAGTGGTTGTCTTTAAAATGTGTTGCTATTTAGCATTGCGAAAGCTAATTTTAAACTACTTTTTAGGAAAAGAATATATCTACTGTATTTTATATATTAAATATATTGGAACTTCAACAAATAATTTATTTAAGAAGTCTATATATTCAAAAAATAAACTTAGAAATATATATTAATATTTTAATTCTTTATGTAAAGACTTATAATAAAATATAGTGCATATTTTCATCGCTACATGATGAAATACAGAAACAGCTACCTGATATGCCTACCGTATTTTATACTTTAAAGATATTGGAACTTCAACAAATAATTTATTTTAGAAGTCTATCTATTTAAAAACTAAACTTAGAACTATATAATAATACCATTAATCAACAAAATTGATTTTTTATCCCAAAAAACTGATGCCATAACTTTATTTGCTGATCGTTGTGGCTTCACCTGCTTTGGGGTAAACAACCAGTTTCAGTCCATTGTAAACGTTCTTGTTTCAATTTAGGATCATAGTGGTAGACCCAAGTCTCATCCATAGTTATTAAACGACGCAAAAAATCGGTTTTATTCTGCTTAAAACGCTCCAAATTATGCTGGGAAATTTGATTTCGATCCAGTTTCTGTTGAATTGTTAACGTGTGCGGCACTAACTTTCCAAACAGCTTTTTCATAAGTAATTCTCCATGTAAAATATGAATTACTCGTCGAACTTGGATCTTCACTAACAATATTATGAATTTACTCAATGATTTCTGGTGTAGTTGCGATTGTTGCTCGTCCTTCGTATGGATCGTCTTCAAGCCTAGTACGATCACGTTTAAATTCACCAGTCCAAAATTCAATGATGCTTTTGGAAGATAAGGACTGCTTATACATTTCAAACAATTGTTCATAAATTTCATTTACTTTAAAACCTTTCAAAACAAAGAATCTAATCACTGCGCGATATTAAATTTTTTTCATAATAAAAAAATACTCTAGAGACGTCAACTTCAAATAGCTTGTAAACAAATAATTAATTGACAGAATGTCTTATAACTTTGTAGTTTCTCTCACGACAGATGTAGCAAAAAACCTGTAGAACAAAAAATATTTTAAAATTGCTACTTTTACGAAAAAAAAGTAAAACTATAACTTTCCAACACTTTTACATTTGGTTGATACGTAAGGAATTCCCATTTTACTACTTGTACGCAGACTTTTTCTGCGCTGCCAAATTATTATTTTTTTTAAATTTGTTTATAAAACTATGGTGTCAGATTTTCATTGCTTTAAATACTATAGGATTATGCAATAGACTAGTAATAAAGCACTTAATTGCTCTAAAATTTAGTATATCAAAGTTGCGAGTGTATATACATACAAGAGAACTGAAACGGTGCACACTAACAAACAGTTGCGGTTAGGTTACGCGCGAGTTAATTTATTTACTCGTTAGGAATAAAACAAATATATAATTTTAAGTCAGACAATGAGATTGGTTCTGACTGATCCCATATTTGTATAATGTTTCACCGTATTCACATGTACTTCAATATTGAATATATTACACTTAAACTGTACAAGTGTTACAAGTGGTAACTTGTTACTCGGCAGTTGATAAGTGCCGTTTCACATTGGGATGCAAAAGAGTCTGATGTTTTTCAAATTTTCTTTTGGTGTCGCTCTGGGCATTCACACGGTCAAAAAGAGTCCAGCAACTCGAGTCTAGTTTTTCTGCATTCTTTTTCACAAAATGTTCGTAAATATTTGTGCGGTTCGACTGCGCAACACCGCGCAACACTGCGTGCTGCGTATTTCATTTGTATGTTGAGATGATGGTCACACATTTTGCTTGCAATGAATTACCATGAATATGGTAGAACAATATGCATAATACAAGTACCTACCCGCTAAATAGTTTCAAAAAATACTAAAGACGGGAATTCCCTAATCCACAAGAATGTATTGAATATCCGCTACTAATATTTTCAAGGCCAAATTTATAATAGGAATTTCCTAATCTTTAAGTATTAAAAACCCATAATTTCTTTACTCCGTATTAAAAATTCATAATTTCTTTACTCCATAATCTATATCTTAATTTTCACCTTATTTACAATTTGTCATAATATTTCTATTATTCTATGCATACGTATTTGCATATTACATACAAAAATAGATAACAGAACTCAAATTTGCGATCGAATTCATTTGAAACCGAGCGCTCTTGCAACCATTCAAAGGATTTGAAAGTGAAAAGGAATGCTGAAAAGGGTAGCAGCGAGCTGTTACGAACAAGAACACAAAGCGTGCCACCCGAACACGAGTGGCACGGTCCCTTCGTCTTTCCTCGTCGTCCCCTCACCCACAATAAACTGGTATGAGACTCTTTTGCGTCCCAATGTGAAACGGCACTAATGATAAAGTGACCCCGAGGCTATTGTTCCAGTTGCTTATATAGGCTATGCTTATCGTTGCTCATACTATTGAGTCGTTGGTTGTTTACTAGTAAATAACTATTTGGGTTGTTATTGTTTGTTGTACTGATAGTGCGCTTCTATTGTTCTAAGATAAAGTTGTTTTGATGGTTTTTCTTTAATGTTTACTGTTGTGGTTAAAGGTTAAATTATTAACTCTCCCCTCTCTTGTGAAAAATAGATCTCCTGATCTATACTTGAGTCTTGACTAGATGAGTCATTCCTAAACGTTCTAGTGTAGCGTTGTAGTTTCTCAGATATACAGTTTTTTTATAAATTATATGTAGTTTGAATATTACAAATATACTTAATCCTAGGACTACAAGTACTCCTATAGTTATGAACATATTCTTGAATGGGTGTTTTTCAAATGGTATTAAACATTTATTTAATTTTTTAATGTTGTCAAATTGATATTCGTTTTCTGATTTCAATATATATTTCAAGAATGTGAATTCTTTCGTTTCCATTACCTATAATATAATCTTTAATTTCTTGTTCCTGGTTATGGAATACTTATGAGTCAATAATAATTGTTTCATTAAATTGGATTAAATTTAATCCTTCAATTGATTTTTCGTTTAAAATATGTTTTCCTTGTAATACGACATTACCATGTCCTAAATCTATAATAGGTGCGTTATTTTCTTGGATAACATTACAATGGGCTTCGTAACCTTCAATCATTGGTATTGTACAATTGTCATTAGGTTCTTGTTTACAAATATATTTACTTAAATTATTTTTACATTTAAATATAATATAATATAATAATATGATAATGGAGTAACTTTGTATGTTGTGCATTTCTTTACAATGACTGGGTATTTATAAATTACAATGAAAGTGTCGTCTAATCTACCTACATGCGTGTCTGCATATTCGAGTATGTCAATAACCGGTATACTAGTTTGTTCCTTTTCTAATATCCTTTCAATCTCGTCCGTATTTATTGCTGCTGAATAAAAATTTCCGTTCTTCGCGAGATTAATTGTCGTAGTTAAGTCAAATAACTCCTTGTATAATTCTTGCAATATAACTTCTTGTTTAATCGTCTCAATCTTGGATAGCACTTCATTCAATGCTTGGTTCAGATTGTCATAATATACATGCAGTGGTAGTTCTTTTTGTTGTATTTTCGTCATATCTTCCTCCAGAACGTATATTGGTCGTTTGACGGCATAGGAGTCGTCTAGGCTATCGATGATGTCTTGGAAGTTTCTCTTTACGTTGTGGTTGTTCAGGATCTGTGCTGCTTTGCCAGTAATTTTTCCTCTGATCATTATTAATGCTTGGGCATATATATAAGGTTGGCCGTTATTTCCCTTCCGCTTTTTGGCTCTTCATTCAATGCTTTATAAAAAGTGTTACAGTGATCGGATTTAGTTAAAATATGCGCCGCTTTGTTCGATTATCTGTTTCCATCTAGACGGCAACTTTATAATACCTTGCTCGTAGAAGCCCCCCTCCCTATTTGCGAAGAGTTCGGACAGCCACTTTTCACAAGCCTCTTTTGAGTTCAACTTCACACCACCAAGGGCATTCGCCATGGACAGGAACAGGTGGTAATCAC